TTGTTCTAGTATTCTTGTATATTTTGTATTTCTGTGATATTGGTTGTAATTTCTCCATTTTCCTTTCTTATTTTGCTTATTTGTGCTCTCTCTTTTCTCTTTGTGAGCTTGGTCAGAGGTTTGTCAATTTTATTTACTCTTTCAAAAAACCAGCTCTTGATTTGATTGATTTTTTTCTATTTTTTTAATCTCTATTTTATTTATTTCCTCTTTGAGCTTTATTATTTCCTTCCTTCTGCTGACTTTCGGGGTTTTTTGCTCTTCTTTTTCTGATTCTTTTTGCTGGTAGATTAGATTGTTTATTTGAGATTGTTATTCTTTGGGGGGAAGGCCTATATCTCTATAAACTTCCCTCTTAGTACTGCCTTTGCTGCGTCCCATAGATTTTGTGTGATTGTGTTTTCATTGTCATTTGTCTCAAAATATTTTTTTAGTTCATCTTTGATTTCATAATTGACCCATTGGTTTTTCAGTAGCATGTTGTTTAATCTCAATGCTGTCATTTTTTTCTCCTTTGTTTTTCCATAGTAGATTTCTAGTTTCATGGCATTGTGGTCAGAAGAGATGCTTGAGATAATTTCTGTCTTCTTAAAATTGTTGAGGCTTCTTTTGTGCCCAAGTACATGATCAATTCTAGAAAATGTTCCATGTGCACTTAAAACATATAGATTCTCATCATAAAATTTGTTAGCTACTTCTTTACTGTTCTGTGTACATTATTTCTTATTCTGGAAAAGATATGCTAGAGCTTGAATTAATGTAACTAGTGCTTCTTTAAAAAATAAACTGTATTGTAGTGATATTCTTTCCTAGTATGCGAAGGTATATTTTAGTTATTTCCCTTTAACATTTTATTAATTTTCTAGCATTTAAAACAACATTTTAAGCAAGAATAAGATTATTTTAAATTAGAGATATACATTTTCACAATCTTTTATATTTATTTTTAGGTGAAAGATATTCTCTCAAAAGTCCAGAAAAATCATGTGGGCAAACCACTGCTGAAAATTGATTTAAATCTGGAACAGGCGGTAAATCCCCACCCCTTTTTATTACTATTATGTAATTAAATTAGTGAATGTGCCAATTTTATCAATGGGCATCCAGATTTTACAATATGTAGCAGGCATGTATTATTTGGAGAATTAAAATAGAGTGATATTCTAGAGCAATAGGTCTTAACATTTCTTTAATCAAATTATTAATTCATTAAAAAGAAAAACAAGCCAGGAGTATTTATACTGCCCAATATGTTAGCATAGTTGTAATTTGAAAAGTATAGTTGCACAAAAAAGTGTAGTTATTGGTATTTTCTTTTTTTATTGGTCCAGACTACTTTGCAGGTAGACACTTTACTTAACACATGTGATTGAAGATGAGGTAAACTCTACCAGTTGTAGAGCTTAATTTGTATGTTTAGTATCTTCTGAATATCATAAATATCAAATACTCTGTCACTTATTTACTGAAAGCCTCATGGGATCAGAAAATGATCAAGTACAAGCTTTTGAATTAGTAAGAAGTATTGACCACAATTTTCAAATTTTTGGCTGTGCATAATGAGTCTGAAGGTTACGATTTTTTGTTTTCAAATTCTTTAGGAAAAACTGGAAAGAATCAATGATGCTCTTTCCTGTGAATATGAGTGCCGCCGACGGATGTTGATGAAACGATTAGATGTAACAGTGCAGTCTTTTGGATGGTCTGATAGAGCAAAGGTAAGGCTGTTTTCCCATTTGTGACCTGTAGGTGGTACTGTGCGACAGCTCTTCAGGCTGTGGTGTCTGTTACTATGTAACTGTGCCACAATTTGCACTTTATCACTGTCTGAAGCACCTGCTCAGGCCAACTACCGGTCTTCAACAGTGATCCTGGTCTTGCATAAGTCCCTGTTTGCAAGTATCTTAATTTCTCCCCAGATCTTTCACGTTTATTTAAAACTCATAGATGTTACAATTTGTATAGGATATATAAAGGTAAAAAGAAGGCATCCTATGTGGCAGTGAGATAGATACAGTGAGCAACTGATCTAGAAAGAAGGATTTAGGAATAGATACAGGCAGTACTGATGCCTGAAGAAATCTTAATAGTGTCCTCAAGGCTGTGGAGTATGTTCCAATTAAAGAGGGGGTTGGAGGGTGGGGGCATTCCCAACTATGAATCTCTTCAGAGAGTTTTCTAGAGAGTTGTCTCCCATCACTCCCATTTTATGCCTTTAATCTATACCCAGGCTTTGTCTGGGATCCCCCACCTCCCCCTGCATCACAGCCTGGAAACTGTCCAGACAGTAAGCTGGGACAGTTATAGGGAAACATTTGCTTCCCCTATTTGAGGATCACTGCCCTGTGCTCCTTGATGTCCAGTGTCTGAAAATCACTAGTTCACACAAATTGCCAGTTTTATTAGGTTCGGAGGGTGTCATAAATCTGGTACCTATTATTCTCAAGTATTATTATTACATTCTTTGCATTAACTGGGCAGTTCTTCTGCCCCATGTTGTATCAGCTGGGGTCATCGCTGCACCTTCATTTAGCTGGTATCTGGGCTGGGCTGGAACCTCCAAGGCGGTTGTCTCACATGTCTGGGTTCTGCCGACTGTCTACTGGGGTACTTCACCTACCGTCTTGGCTCTTAGGTGGTCTCTCTCTCCATGTGGTGTCTCACATTGGTTTCCTATGGATGCTCTAACAAAATACCAGAAACTTAGTGGTATGAATAATAAACACATTTATCCTCTTACAGCTCTAGAGATAAGCAGTCCTAAAATAATGGTATTGTCAGGGTTACATTCCTCCTGAACACTTCAGGGGAGAATCTGTCCTTGCATTTCCTAGCTTCTAGGTGCCACCTGTGTACTTCAGTTCTTGACCTCATCTTCCATCTTCAAAACCAGTAGTGTAGGATCTTCCAGTCTTTCTCTGACTGCTTCCATTGTCACTCTTATAATTGTGACACTTGTGATTACACTGGCCTACCCAGAAAATTCAGGATAGTCCATCTCAGGGTCCTTAATTTGACTGCATCTGTATCTGCAAGGTAACATATTCAGAGGTTCTAGGGGTTGGGATGTAGACGTCTCTGGGGAGCCATTATTCTGTTAGCTAAATGTCTTACCTTTCTTCTAATGGGATTTTAATTTTTTCCTCTTATATTCTTTATCATATGCTGCTGCTGCTTTTTTTCTTCTTAAACATGCTTTTAAAAATCGGATATTCTAATGAATCCTCTTTTGTGTATACTTTCCCTCCCCAAAGCTTGTATCCTTCTGTTGCAGTTTGGGCTGTTTGCATGGCTGTCTTTGGCTATTCCACTATTTCTTGGATTCCATGGCCTCCTTTTTCATTGTTTATTACCTCAGTCTGTCATAGTAAATCCACAAATAACTTCCTAACAAAGGGTGCATGGGAGTGATTTTTCTGATTCCTTGCATTCTGAAAATGTTTATTCTGCTGACACATTTGATTGATAGTTTGGGTAAACATAAAATTCTAGGTGAAGATTTTTCTCAAAGAATATTGAAGGCATTGCTTCATTGTTTTCTAGCATTTAGTCCTGCTGTTGAGAAACCTGATGCCATTCTCTGCCCTTTTGGATGACCTTTTATTTTTCTCTGGAAGCTTTTGGGCTCTTTTCTGTATTCTTGGAGTTCTCAATTTTCACAACATATTTCAGTCTGTGTCTTTTAGAATTCATTGTGCTAAATATTAGGTGAACCTTTCCATCTGTAGACTCATACCTTTTATATTTTTCTTTATTAATTTCTTTCTTCTCCCTTTTTTTTTCCTTTTCTGAAATTCTTGTTAGATATAGGACCTCCTGCATAGATCCACTTAAGTTGCTTTATTTTTTTCTCTCATTTTCCATTTCTGTTTCCAAAAGGAGATTCATTTTCTTGGAAATGCCCTCAAATTTATTTTGTGCTTAGCATTGAATTTTGTTTCTGTGATCATTTTTTCATTTCCAGGAATTCTTTTTGATTCTTGAGTTTTCCTTTTTCATGTTTTTTTTTTCCTCCCTTATTTTATGGATGTGCTATCTTAAATGGAAATGAAAAAAATTTTTTTTAAGGTTTTTTTTTTTTTTTCTGGCCTTCAGGTATCTCTTGTCTCTTCCAGGGTAATTTTTTGGTTTGTTTTTCTTGGTCTCTCTCTTGTGGTGGCTTTCTTCAAGTACATGGTAGTCCTTGGTTGTCCACATTTAAGAGAAGACACTGAAAAACTGGGAACTATAGTCATTGATCAGGATTGTTGACATCAGGCTTTGGGGATGGTATTGTGCTGTGGGAATTCCTAATGCTCACTTGTTTTTCACGAAGGGAAACCTTATTTTTTATATACTTTTCTCCTTTGACCTGGGAAGGAGGAGTGGCAGCGTGGTTCTAGGAGTTGGGGGAATAAACTGTTCCACAAATAGATGGAGTTAACCTCTGTTTTTTGGCTCCAAATTTCATTTTTTAGAAGTTGATTCCCTTCTGTCTGTATCCCTCTTTTCCATTCTTTTTATTATAGTACATATATACTTAAAAAAAATAGTGTGTTTAATCTGACTCACTTACCTAGAAATACTCCCTCATGTATGGTACACACAGTCTCCTTCCAAACACCTGGCAGACAGACAGAAAAAACTGAAGAGTGATTAGAACAGGGTTGCTGGTGAAAACTATTATTATTTCAAGGAAAATTTTTTAGCATAGTAATAGAATAGCTGTAAGGGAGAGTTGAAGACTGTCATTCATGTATTTTCTTTTAATAAACATTTATTCAGCATCTCACATGTGTCTAACCCTATGATGTACCTGGTTCTAGGTGAGCATCTGAATACCCTATATGATTAGGTATAGAACGTTTTTAGAAGATTTCTGTGTCTGTAATATAGCTTCTTGGATAGTTAAAACCTGTTTCTCTTCTGCACATGCACCAGGATAAACTCCAGACATGTGTGATCATGTCTTTAGAGTGACTGTTAAATGCAAGAAGACCAGATGCTCTGAGAGCTGTGAGTTACCAAAGAGACAGATGACATGACTACTGACTTAAAGGGAATAGAATTCAGATGTGTGGGAGGTACAGTTTTACTGACCTCTGGAAACTTAATAGAGGTTGGGTACATATTGGCTTTCCAATTTAACTTGCTAGAATTTTAATGAGAAAAGGGAATTTAGGAATATAAGGGAAATTGTGAGAGGTTGTGCATTGTAAGTATCTTAACATAATAACTTGGAGGATATTTTCAACGTTGGCCTTAATCTTACAGAGATATCCAAAACAAATGAGTTCTGACATGTTCTTTGAACATTTGGAGTGGCATGGACTCATGGTAGTGTTGACTCTTGACTAGCCATAAACTTGGAAACTTTGAGGAAAATGCCTTAAGGAAATATCTTGATATTATATCTTCTCATCTTGGTGTTTTCATCGTGTTTTAGGACAAGGCGGTGGTGTTCTTTTTTCCTTAGTCTGGAAGATTTTAAAAATATTTTTTCCTTAGACTATTTATAGGTCAAATTTTGGCCTTTCATTTGATCCTTTTCAGTTGATTATATGAATATATGCATTTGTACCCTGAGTTTTCTTTTTTGTTAAATTTAATATATCTTTATCATATTTCCCCTATTTTATGTGTCTGATATTGTTGAATGACTCATCAAATACTGTTCTACAGCATTTAAAATCTTCACAGAATACCTTCTCATATGGATATACTTTACTGATTGACGTTGAGGTTTCCTTTAATTTTGTCTCATTCGACCCTGTAATGAAGTCCTTGGCAGCTAAGTTTTTATGTCCCTGATAGATTCCTAAAAGTGGAATTTCTTGATCAAAGAATATATGTGATTTTTAATGCTTTTGGTGCTCACTTTACAGTTGCCCTTCAGAAAGATTATATAATTTATTAATATGGTTAATCTGGTTTCTCTATTATTTTGCTAGTATTGAGTGTTGAAATAAGCACTGAAATAAGACTGAGTATAATTTTATAGTTTGATTTTTTTAGCTGAATATATTGTGATCATTATCCCATATCTCTAAAAGTTCTATTTCAATACCCTTTAAAAAAATTAACTTTTAATTTATTTCTTATTTTTTGAGATGTAATTCACCATCCTAAAGTGTACAGTTCCATGGTTTTTAGTATATTTACTGTATTCTGTAACCATTACCTAATTCCAGAATGTTTCTGTCACCCTGGAAAGAAACATGCAGCCATTAGCCATCATTTGCAATACCTTCACCTCCCTTCTCTGACACCCACTATTATAACCTACTTTCTGTCTCTTTGGATTTGCCTATTCTGGACATTTCATGTATATATGGAATCATATAATATGTAGCTTTTTATGTCTGATTTCTTGGCATAATGCGTTTAAGTTTCATCCATGTTGTCACATGTAATGGCACAGTCAGCCCTCCGTGTCTGTGAATGTGGAACCCATGGTTTCCTAAATGGAAATATACCATGTACTGTGTGTCAAAGGTTATGATTCTTAATGATCCTGATTCACATGGCCAAATTGTTTTTTAAAAAGTTTGTATGAATGTAAACTCCTACAAGTAGGGTAAATGAAATTTTGTCTTCATTTTAGCCTCTTTAATATTTAGAGTATTATCAATTTTATAGGTAATTTGGTGATTAAAAAAGACTAAATTGTTTTCATTTGTATATTTTTATTGCTGGTAAAGTTGAACTTTTTTTCATAAGCTTATTAGTCATTTCAGTTTCCTTTTTTTTTTTGAAATTTCTATTTGTGTCTTGTCTGTTTTTCCCCATAAGGTCTTCCTGTTTTCCTTTTGATTGAGCTTTTTCTATATTAAGGAAGTTAGCTAGTGGCTTTTGTTGTTGAAAATATTTTCCTCAGTTGTCTTTTGATTTTTTTTTGTCTTTTTGATGTGCAGAAATTTTAATCTTTATCATACAGTTAAGTTTTTCAGTGTAAAGAAAGAACTCTAAATAACAATAAATTCTTTGTTATATTTAGAATCTTGTTTGTTATATGGTATGCCTTATTAATTTTTTTTACAAATAGCCAGCAGTTAATTCCAGCAGCATTTAAAAAATCTCTCCCTTTTCTCATTATTCTTTGATGCTTCCTCTATCATTTGTTGCATTCATGCATTTATGAGGCTCTGAATCTCAATTGCCTATTTTGTTTGATCAATCTGTTTTTTCCTCCCCAAGCTCCATTTAATTAGACTGAGATAGGATAGTATATTGTTATCTGTGCAACTACTCTAAAGGATGTTTTGAGGGTTAAAGAAATGATATTAAGTGAAAAATATCTTTGCACATTAAGTGCTCAATGAATGTTAGCTGTTAAGGCAGTGATATTAATTTCATCTTGACATCTGGTCAAACTCTTCTTTCTCAAAATTGTTTTAGTCATTCATACACATCTTATTTCTGGATTAACTTTAGATTCTTCCCCTTACCCTGCCAATCTCCTATCCTCTCAAAAACCATTACAACAGGATTGCAGTAAATCTATAAGTTAACTTGGGGCAGAACTGACAATACTCAGTGTTCCCATCCAGAAACTTGGTATTTCTCTCCATTTATTGAAGTTTTCATTTTGTTTTTATAGATTGACTAATGTTTTCTTCTTAAAAGACCTGTGTGTGTTTTCAGTAAAGCTATTTTTAGGTGCTTTGTTTTTTGTTAATATGAATGGAATCTTTTTTTTGTGTTAGTTTTTAAATGAGCTTTTACTGGTAGTTATGTATTCTTTTAGTATCTGTTGGTCTGTTTTTTTTTTATTCTACTTACAGATTATCAGATATTTGAATATTTTGCTCTTCTCTATATCTTTGTCTGTGTATTATCTCCTCCCCCCCCCTTCTGAAGATTATCATTGCAATTGCTCTTTCACTGAAATGTTTTTCGGTTCATTTTTTTCCCTGACTTTGTCATTTAGGTAAAAACAGATGACATAGCAAGAATTTATCAGCCTAAGCGTTACGCTTTGTCACCCAAGACAACAATAACTTTGGCCCATCTACTTGCTGCTCGTGAAGATCTGTCAAAGATCATCAGGACAAGCAGTGGCTCCAGCCGGGAGAAGACAGCATGTGCCATTAATAAGGTTGGTTTTTCTTTCAGTATGATGGGGAATGGATTTATAATATATTTGTTTGATGTTTGTATGGACCTTAACCCAGTTTTCTTTTAATCCTAGTGAACTCCTAGAAAAGAGAGTGGTGGAGGGGCTTCAGTCAGTTTAGGCTTAGTTATGTTTTGTGTGTGCGCCTGTATATTTGAATTTCTGTATTCATAAGTTAAACCATAGTTATATCTGAATTGGAGGAATTAAGAATTTTTTCATTTTTCATTTTTATTAGATAAAACTGTTACAACTTGACTGCACATATACAATAGATTGAATGTAAATACATATACACAATATACTGCACTACTTTTAAAATTTACATGTATGTACTGTTCATTGTT